CACTTCTGGTACAATCTAGGCTTGGGGAAGTTTAGGTCAAGAACCAGAGACTTGGTATCTGATTGTCTGTGTCCTATCATAATCTGATTTACAATAGAAATGAAAACTCATCCTAGAGTCTGTTTGCAAGACAGATTTCTATTTCTATGTCTATGTAGCATTTTTCAAACTCCCTTAAAAATTATCTGATATGAAGTTGAGATGAAGAGGCCTTGAAAAAGTTGAATGGAAGGAGAGAGAACAAATATGATCAAAATACATTATACCCATGTATGCAATTCCAAATTAGATAAAGTAATTTCTTAAGTATCTGAGGTAGTTGCAGATAGCATCCACCAAAACATGTTCAACCAAGCCCAGAGAGCCAGAATTTCTAGGTGAGGCACACAGAAGGCTGTTTTTAAAAATGATTCCTTTCCCCCTAGGTGATTATCTTTTTCATCAGCGAGAACTGTGAAAATCTGTTCCAGTGTTCTAGGGAGCAGGGAAATGGGCATGAAAACTATCATTGCAGATGGTCAACATAAACAGAGTGGAATCACCCATCTGGATATCTTCAGGTCAGTATGAGAGTTGATCCAAAACTGGGTCTAGCTGGATTTGTCATTGAAACCCCATTCAGGGAGACAGGGAAAGAGACTCTATGAGTGCAGCTGCTGCCACAATCAGGTGGCCACAGGCACACCCCTGTTACCTCTTCTCCTGGTAAGCTCATATCATTCCTGACTCAACTCTCTCTGTTCACACACCACTCTGCTACATACCTCTGTCCAGACAAACAGTCATATACCCTACCAGTTGTATGACACTTCTCCCTTGATAGCTATGGGCCTGGCCTTGCCCAAAATAAGACCCCTCCCAAACCTATGTCCCCCTTCACAAGTTTAAAGACTTCTGATTACAGGGTTAGAGGTGATCTCCCTGGCCTTCAGACAATCGGAACCCAACTTGTGTTAACAAAGCATTTCATGATGAGACTTAAACTTTGCTTTCCAATCCAGCTTCCATCCTGTCTTTCCCTCTCATGACCAGACATTACCTGTACAACCAACACACACACACACACACACACACACACACACACACACACACACACACACACACACACACACACACACGACAGAGAGAGAGAGAGAGAGAGAGAGAGAGAGAGAGAGAGAGAGAGAGAGAGAGTTAATTTCCCTTGCCTTGCTTCTTAAGGGCAGAAGGCTAGAACTGGAGAGCCCTCTCGAAGAGGTCGGAGATAATTGGAAATGGCCTCACGGAAGTTGAAAGAAATTCCTCTCTGAGGCAGTCACTGACTCTAGCCTCCAGGCTACTGTAATTCGGAAGGGCCGCTAAGCAGACAGACTGTCCAAATGCACCCTCTGTGCCCTGCACAATCTCTATGGATTTCCCAAAGCCAAGACAAACCTCCCATTTGCTGCCTTTCTCAAGTCTGAGCCAGGGCATGTCCATCATTAGTTCTGCTACCTAAATATAGATTGTCTGGTGGCCTTTGAGAGTGCCAGCAGAGATCTGTGATTTGGGACCGAAGGTCCACTCAAACCCCCAAGGAAAGCTAAGGCCTGACTCCTACTCAATTCTTCGGAGACCTTTTTAAGAGGGTGGTTCGGGGGAGTTCTTGCATGGAAGAGAGTAAATAGTAAAAACTGAACTGAAGGGATAGGCCTTGCACCAGAAAACAAGACAAGGAAGGTGACCAAGGAGTTAGTTTCTCTTTTGGATGCTGCCCTCTTGTGGTCATATGAAGGAGTTGTAACCTAATGACTCGGAGAAAGATACTCAAAGACCAAAAAGTTAATTCTGGGTTGCTTCTGTTGTCTTTCCACAACACGACACTTTCGGTCAGTTCTCTTTCTGTACTCTCTCCCCGTTGTGTGATCAGTCAGAGCTCTCACGCATGTAGGGTGGAGATTTGAATGAAACAGACTTAGGCTACTTCTTCGTGTAGTGGAAAATAAATGATACACTAACCCTCCCAGGAGTGTTTGTGTCTAAACAACTGAGTGAGCTAAGCAAGAGGAAGTCCTGTTGAGATCGCATTGCAATTGTCAGAGAAAGGAAATAAGTTGAAAAAGAAAAGTATAAAGACCGAAAGTACAAGGTTATTTTGCCACTGGTGAAATCTTGAATGCACCAGCATTTGGTGCAGGCAGAAAAGTGGCCATGCACAGCTCTTAAAATGTTTACATATGAACAGGAGTGGGCTGGACGGCACTGAGGTGTTTGTTTAATGTGAATTTGAGCAAGAAAAGACTGGATGTAAACAAGTGCTAACAGGAAGGAACTAGGAAGGGGGCTACCTGTCGTTGATTTCTCATGTTGCTGGTGAATTTCAAGGCTGTGACCCAGGCACCCCTTCTGTCTCCTTCCTCTGTGCATCGACATGAATAATTTTACACATCCCCATAACTTCCATCACCTAAGTAGCCCAGATTTTTCTCCTACATTTGAGACATGGCATTCTCTATTAGATATAGAAGTCCCTTAAACCCCTCAGGTTCAACCTTAAAGCTGTGGTTGTTCTCAGTTCCTGCCATGGCTTTGGTTGTCTGCAGATAAAGTCCAGATTCTGACAGAAATGAAAGACAGCTCAGGAAGGTTATTGCTGTATAAGTCACATAATGTAAGGAATTGTTCAGATTTGCACAAAGGACACAAAATAGTTTGCAAATGCTTATAAATGGACGGGAGGAAAGAGAACTGTGTACAAGCATGAAGAGTTGAGCTCACATCCCCAGAACCCATGTAATCTTCGATGTGGTGATCAGCATCTGTAACCCCAGCACTCCTATAGCAAGATGGCAGACAGACGGGAAAGTCCCTGAAGATTATGGGCTAGCCAGGCTGACACACATAGCAACAATTGACAAGAGAAAAAGTAGAAGAGGAGATGAACACCCAAGGTTGTCCTCCTTCTGCTCTGTATGTCACAGAACATGTGTGTCTATTCTCACATACACAGTCACAAAAGACAGACAGATAGAGAGATAATAGATAAACCATCTATGACCACATCACAAGTTATAGAAATGAGGAGTGTAATTGAGTGTTTTTGTCCTATTTTGTTATGTTTGAAAATGCATACATGATATATGTAAATATATGTATATGTCATCCATGTTTCCCTTCCTCTCCTATTCTTTTATTATGTAACATAGCAATGAGTTGATAACAGTACTTAAGTTTTTAATCTATATTAGCATATTTTAATTGTAAATATTCCACAAGGGACTTCACTATCTAGTCTTGAAGAATAGTGTGTATTGGGTTGTATGGAGATAGTTATTACATAACAGGTGAAGCTATGCTATCAGTGACTTTTTGTTTGTTTTAAGACAGGATCTCATAGATATCTACTTTGTTTTATTTAAGACAGGGATCAATTGCTATGTGACTCAGAATGACCTTGAACTTCTGATCTTAGTAAACATCCCAATTTCAAGATTTTCATTGTGTACCACTATGCCCAACTTATGTGAGACTGGTACTCAAACCCAGGACTTCATACACTCTAGACAATCACCATACCAACTATGCTACATTCCAGCCCCTTTTATTGTCTTTATTTGGAATTAAGTGTGACATGAGAAGTGGTTAGGTATCAAATTTAAAAAGATAAAATGTGATGGTTGGTCTTGATTATCTATTTGATAGTATTTAGAATGGCCGAAGATACACACCTCTGGTTGTGTTTGTGAAAATGTTCCCAGAGAAGATTAGCTGAGTGATGGACATCCACTCTCAAACTGGCTGGCACCTTCTAACAGGTGGCTGATGTACAGATGGGCTCAAGGAAAATCCTCACTCGCTGCTTCCTGGGTGCATCTGTCATTACCTTTGCCATGCCCCACCAATATTAGACTCCAGGTTCTTCAGCCTTCCAATACGATCTCAATATAAAGAACCAAAGACTCTTGAAAGGGACTGGAGAAGTCCTATGTCTTTCTGTGGAGACATCCAATTTCATAGACTGGGTAGCCATTGAGTTCTTTGCCTCTAAAGAATACTGATGGTTGCTTTTTAATACTCAGCACCTATGCACCTGTCATACAAGCCAGTCTAAATAAATCCTATTTCCGTCTCTGTCTGTTTGTCTGTCTGCATATGTGTGCGAGTGTATGTGTGTGTGTGTACCTGTGTGTCTGTGTGCATATACATTCTTCTCATTCTGTTCTTCTAGAGAGCCCTACCTAAAACATCACATAAGATAGAGAAGTCTTTGTAAATATGGTTCTTTTCAGGACCATGAAAAGACCCATATTGAGAGAAGCCCTACAATTGTAAATAATGTAGAAAACCCTTTGTTCAAGTTCATCAGTCAATGAGGTGGAACAGGGGATGTCTCTGACTCTTTTACTGGCTTTTGGGACCCTACTGTCATACTGGCATGGGGAGGTGCTTAGTCTTACTACACCTTGATATGTCATGTTTTGTTGATATTCACGGAAGAACTACCCTTTCCTAAACAAAAAAAAAAAAAAAAAAACTGAGAAGGGGTGGATTTCGGGATGGCAAGGGTGGGGCAGACCGGGAAGAGAGAAGGGTGGAGAAGCTGCTGCCGCCTGGATGTAAAATTAATTCATTAATTAATTTTTGAAAGAAATTTTTAACGACTACTTATGATCAGGACTCTTCTGTTCCGCCAGTCAATAAATATAATTTCTGACTCTGAAACTAGTTTGTTGCAATGAGGAGCTACCTGGGAAGCATGGAAGGTCGAGTGGGCCAGGAAAACCCGAAGCGTTTATTAACAATTTTGCTTTAGTGTCTGAATCCTGGAGCCACGGTCGGCTGCATGTCTTCCCGGGAAACGCGTATTCCAACGTGTAAATGTGCCATCACACACTCAAGCCGGGACACAGATAGATCCAAACCAGGCAGAGGTCCCAGGTTGCTGAATTCAGTAAAGTGACAAGTTAACAGCCAATCAGGCCGCTCTTAGTGCAGAAGTAGGCTGGAGCAGGCTCGGCCCGTGGTTCCACGGTTCCGGCGCTGTGGGCGGGCCCTGGAGCTCGGCGGAAGCCGCCCGGTGCCGCCTCTGCCTAGGCTGCCGCTGCCTGCTGCTGTGGTCGGCCGCTTCCCGCAGGTGAGCGCCCTGCTGCACCTGAGGCTGCGGACTGGGCCGCTGGAGCCCCGCATCCCTACTGCGGGTTACGCTGAGCAGAGAGAAGGGAGGTGGCAGCTGGGGGGTCTTTGGAAGACACGGGTCCTGCACTCCTTACCCAGCCCACTGTCATGGGGACCTGCCCAGTCCCGAAGGTCACCTTCCCCGACCTTCGGATGCCAGAGCCTGGGCCCTCGCTCTTTTAACCCAACTTCCGGGTTCTAGCCAGGGTCCGCCCCCTCCCTAGGCACTTTGGAAGCACCCGGTGGGTGCAACATTCTGACTTTGTCAGACGACTTGTCCTCTACAAAGTTCATGCAGGAGAACCGAGCGATCCAGAAAGCCGCATGAAGAAAATGAAGTTTACAGTTTTGTGTTGGGCAGTATTCCTAGCTGTCCTCTGCTGCAAGTTGAGCCACGCCTGAGCGGTTAATAATTTTAAGACTTAACCAAGTAATGTCTGTGTGATAAAAGAGCGTTAAAGCAGATCTTCTGTTAGAGAACTACATCTGTTTATCTCCCAGATCTTTGGCAGCTCTCCCATGTTTGCATCTTTTTGAAGCCATGTATAGAAGTAGCATGCTGCCACCAGTGTTCATGATTTGTCATTTCTCATGCTTTGCCACACTTTCCTACAGCCAATATCTCCCAGATTTTCAACTGCTGTTTTTGGTTCTTATGTTGTTCTTTGTGCTTTTGATATCAAAGCGTTGCTCGTGTGCACTCACATATGTGCACATATACACACTCTCTGCCTTAGATGACACCCTTCTACTGTCAGCCAAATCTCAGCATTTACATTTAATTATCATGAATTTAACAAACACTGAGGCACTGTTCTTGGCATCAAGAATACAGTGAACAAAACAATATCTCCGTGATTTAATTTATCACGGCATTAGGAATATTGTGAAAAAAAGATATGGATAGTCAATCTTTAGTGTGAGGATTAAGCAGTAGGATGATGGAAACAGTTCCAGTTAGAACAGCATGACCCCAAATAGGATAAAATGAGCAGACATGGGTCCAGGTTTCATCCAATAGAGCTTATATATGGCTTGCAATGAAGCACTGTAGGCCTTTGAGTTCAGCATTTGCAGAACTGGATCTTACAGTTCTGGATCTCATGGTTTGGTTTTGACAGTGGAAGCAGAAGCAGGGAAAACGGTGAGAAGGAATAACCTGCTGATAGCCTAGATCTCAGTCCTACAGACTTTATGTCCTGGTTCCTCCAAAATGCCCTTCTGCAAGACTAAACACAGAGATTTCTTCCTCTCTGCTCTTGAGTTTGTCTTGTACCCTGAAGCTGGAGAAGATAGGTGCTTTTCCCAAAGTAGGATAATAGAAACCTGGTCCTGCAAAATGAGAACACTAATGGTTTCTGTCCTGGATTGTGAAATAAACCAACATTATCCATGAAAAATGAGCAGAGCCAAGGGTGATTCCTATTACTTTGCTTTATATAAAAAGCATCTGGGTTTTGGGAATTGTCCACTGACCCTAATGGAGTCATTTGGCAGGCATTTGCCTGGTAGACACTATTGAGGCCCTGGAGATATCCCAGTATTTAAAGCCAGTGTGAATCTTCCCTTTAAGTGGCCTATCCAGGAGCACAAACTTACAAGGTAAGTTAATAAATATTACCAAGGATGCCAAGAAGCCTGTCACTGGCCATTCAAGCCCCATACACACATGTGGCCTGGGCAAAAATCATCTGTACACATCATATATCCTTACGTGATCCTAGTTTTTGTCTTCTGAGGGATGTTGTTTCCCCTCTGCCTCTAACACGCAACACTGCATGCTGAGGAGAGTGCCACTATGTTGGTGATGCCAGAGAGGCGGATAGTGATTTACAGGACACAGTGAAAGAAGTGCAATGTTACTTTCATGTTCCACTTCAGTGTGCAGCCTGAGGAACACTGAGCATACAGGCAGCGAGAGTGTAACTGTACACAAAAGGTATCACAGAGGAAGGTTGGCGGTGCTTCGTGGCCTTCTTCTGAATGTTGGAACATCCCACTTTTTTATTAACTTGCCCTAGTCCAAGAGAGACTATGTTGATTTCCATAACATGATTAGAATGGGATTGGTAGGGTAGAATAAACTCAGGAGGATCAGAATTGAACACACAAATAAAAAAGAATTCTCCTAATCCACTTTCTTAGCCACCCCTACCCTGTTTGTGCCTCCTGTGGTGTGAACAGCGTTACCCAATAATAGCTTCAGTGGAGGCCAATGTGTATTATATATGGCCAGTGGAGGTTCTAAAATAAGTGTATTTTTATCAATCAACTTATCCTCTTCTTTTCTCTTGTTTTTGTTTTATTCTTTGCAGTCTTCATTCCTGTTCTGAGACTGTTTATCAGATGGAACCATGGATCCTGCAGCATTAGTAGAAGCCCTTGTGGAAGAAGTGAACTGTCCCGTCTGCATGACCTTTCTCAGGGAGCCTGTGAGCATCAGCTGTGGCCACACTTTCTGCCACAGCTGTCTGTCTGGACTCTGGAAGGTCTCGGGAGAATCCCAGGATTGGGGTTACACCTGTCCCCTCTGTCGAGCTCCTGTGCAGCCAAGGAAATTACGTCCCAATTGGCAGCTGGCCAGCGTTGTAGATAAGGTCCGTCTGCTAGGGTTCTGTGCAGAAATGGGACTGAAGACTGATGTGTGTACTCTCCACAAGGAACCGCTGACAATGTTCTGCAAAGAGGATGACGTGGTAACCTGCAAGGCCTGTAGCCAGTCCTCAGAGCATGGAGCCCACAGTGTTGTGCTCATAAAGGATGTTGCCTGGGAATATAAGGTAAGCAATAGAACCCGGCCACGCCTGTCTTTCCTCTGCCTCTCATCTGGCCGACTCTATATCAGAAGCCTGTCTTGAAGAGCTGATTCCCTTGGCCCCCGGTGACTACAGACCCTTGCATTTAATCTTCCGAGCTACATCTTTCCCTTTATTCATGGCCACCTTAGATTTTCTTCTCTCCCATTTCCTCTGCATCCCATCTCAAGCCTTGGGGATGGCTAACCAGAGGATGAGTTTAGTGTTGAGAACTTGAAGCAGACACTTGGTTTCCATTGGAGTTCTACACGGCTTGACTGAGTTTACATATGGTGACTGCAATTTATTAGTCAAGGACCTGCCAACTTGGCCCGGCTAGGGTCATATATAGTTACTTGGCATTAGCTGAATCATTTTAACCTCTTCATTTTATAAGCACAACTCGGACTTAGGATTTTGGATCATGATACATTATTCTGGAGCTGGAAGGGAGTGTAGATGAGTCCCTTAGGACTGATTCTCCAATTGCCAGACAATGCTTACATATTAAACATGCGTTAATACTCACAGTATCCATATTATCAGGTCTTTTCTGACTAGATTAAATTAAAGGGAGATAAAAGGCTAGAATAGAGAGTTTGTTCTTTGTCTAGGGCTCTGTTCCCACACTTTGGGATAAGCCCTTGAAAGACCCCAGGCGGGGGACTTTCACGGGAGGGAGACCCGAACCCAAGGAACACCGAGGCCACGAGCTTGGATGCAACAGCAAGAGGCTTTATTGATAATACACGGGTACCCGGGGCATCTCAGTCTCGGGAACTGAGAGCCCCGAGCTGGGGACTCAGGGGTCCTTTTATAGCAAAAGCGGAGTACAGAAGCAAGAAGCCTAGTTACAGGACCCTGATTGGGTAATTTAAATGAGGCTGGGGCTCAGAACGAGATTTCTCTCATCTGGACAGAGAGGCAATTAAGGTTTCTCTCATCTGGACAGAGAGGCAATTAAGGTTTCTCTCAGAACTCAATTCTCGGCCTTGGCCCTATCTGAAGAACAAAGGTTTCTGTGCCTGCCCAATCTTTCTGGGCTGGCTGTGCAGACCATAGACACCTGGGCCCCTATCTGGACAGAGATAGTAGTGACTATGCAGCTGTAAAGACCTTGAGCTGAGCTTCCTTCTGATCAAAAAAAATGACTATTCGGCTGAGCTGTGGGGGAAAGGAATTTTCCATAGGCCTCAGCCACCTGTGCTGGGCCGGGGGTCTTTCACCCTCTCTGTTGCGTGCCCATTTGTTTGTTCTCACCACTGTGACTGGCTTTCAGTCCTCAGCTTGCTCTTTTCTCAGATGTGCATGAGTGATCTTGTTCTATCTTAATACTATTTCTTTGAGTTAGGGTTAGAATGTAAGAATATGTGGTAAATCCTCTGAACAAGTCATTTTTTTCTACAGCACAAATACCTAACACATAAAAAGTATATATGTTTCATTTTGTTTTGAGTTTTAAAACAAGGAGGCTGTTTAGCATTCTGACATGGAAGTTAAGATCTTGGTTAACTCGTACCCTGTCATTTGCTAGCTGGATGACTTTAGATGGGTCACTTTCTGAGCCTTAGTTTTCTTATCTATAAAATGGTGATGACACCAACATCTGGGGAGTGTAATTATAGTAGTTATTTTTCTGTTGCTGCCATCAAATACTTGACAAGAAGTCAGGTAAGGGAGAAGAGGTTCGTTTTGGCTCACAGTTCAAAGGGATACAGGACATCAGGGTGGGAAAATCACAGTGACAAGAGTAATAGTCAACTGGTCACATGACATCTGTAGTTAGGAAGAATGAACAGGAAGTGAGACCAGTCCATAAAACCTCAAGACTTGCCCTACAGTGATCTGCTTTCTTCATCCAGGTTCTACCTCTTAAAGTTTCCTATAAGCTTTCCAAACACCCTCAGCAGCTGAGGATCAGGTCTTCAAATACATGAACCTGTGGAGGATGTTTCACATTTTAACCCCAGTAGTGTTCCTGTATGTGTGTAATGCTTGAACTGTGTCTGGTACTTTATAATTCTTTAACAAAAACAGTTACTGTTACCAGAATAAAAGGTAACAACTATATCCTTTTGGCCTTCCAGTAATAATTTTTAGCATTACTTTCCTAGAAAAGGGTCTTACATTTATTGTGTATCTCAACTACACAAGGAGCTTCCTAAATTCCAGTTCACATTTAATAAGTATAGGTGAGATTCAAGATTCTGCCATGCTGATGTTCCTGGCCTTGGACCACACTTTCAGCAGCAAGGTTCTGGGAAATAATAGGGAAGAAAATTAATGAAAATACAAACAGTCCTGGGTAGGAAAGTCCAAAGTCTTTGTTTTCTAGAAAGTGTGGCTATAGACAGCTACAGACGCTTGGGAACTATAGGAGTTAAGAGGATTCTCAACCCAAAGAGCTTCCCTGGGTGTTCCATGGACAGTCTGTGCCTTCTGTGGCATTCTGTTTTCTCTTAGCATTTATTCCAGCCTGTTGCCTGAGGAACATTGATCATACTCATGAGCTTCCTGTCTCTTGCAGTGGAAACTCCAGGAGGCTCTGGAACTTCTCAGGAAAGGACAGGAAGAAGCCTGGAAGCTGGATGTCAGTGAGAAGGAACAAGCTGCCAGCTGGAAGGCAGGTTGCACTTCTCTTCCAGAGCTGACAGTGGAGGCATTCTCATATCTGTGAAGCAGAGCCTTCCGTTTTCCCTTTACTGAAGGCCACATAACTTCTCAGGTCCAGCTTATAGGTTGTGAGGAAACAGTCACCTCATGTCTTCATGTGTGAGGAAAGAACAGTACGGTGCACTCAGGAGCTCATGGGAGTGTGGCTTGTCTGGTGGCAGTCAAGAACAGTTTGTTTCACTTTGTCGAGTGACAGCAGAGCTGCTAAGACTTTGGTTACCCAAATATTAGAAAACCACCTCTGAAATACATTTGAAGCCAATAGATATAAAACTCTCAGAACTTCTGATCAAGAGACAGTAACATCACAGTGGGCTAAAATGGTTGCCGAGGTAGTCCTAGGCTGCAAGAGCCATCAGGACTGATGTCTTTAGGGCTGTAATAGGAACTAGCTGAACAGCCCTGAGTTCGACCCTGAGTGGGGGGTGTGGGTCAGGGAAGTCCCAGCTACCCAGTGGCGTTAAGAACGAGACAGAGACATCTTGTCATTTCAGCAGGGCTCTCAGCCCATATTGGAGACCATGGTTTATTCAAGCATCCTCTTAAATAGCTTTCCAAAAGCAAGGGTACTGGCAGAAGGTATTTATTATCATGTATATAGGGTTGACTAGGAAACACTTCCTTAAACCCTAGAGATGGTCCTAGAATGCACATCAGGAGCCCTCAGGCATTCAGTCTCCAGGCATGTCCCACTAGCCCTCATGATAGGTGTGGGGCCTAAATCTATTGTTACACAAACTAGAAGTGATTCTCTACTCTGACCATCCAGAAGTAATCAGTTGACATCTAAAAGACAATAGGAGATTCAAGCTCCTGGAGTTGAGCTGAGGCCTATAATAGAAATATCATATTCGGGCCCTGACAAATGATGCAATAAGCATAAAAACATCAATGAGAAGAAAAACTACCCAAAAGTGCAGTTAATGTCCTTAGTAACCATCAGTGTAACCTTCCAGCTCTTACTCTGAAAATGGAAGGTAGTTTGCATCTTATCATATCAAGATGATACCCTGTACCAGGATGGTGGTACATGCCTATAAACCAGCCCTTGAGAATTGCTATAACTTTAAGTCCTACCTGGTCTGTAACAATGTAGTGGAACTATATACTGGAACCCTGTCTCAAGAAAAAAAAAAGAAAGGTAATATCCTAGTTCTTACTGGGTCTGATAAGAGTAGAACAGATTAAATGTCACTCATCTAGAAATATGAAATCCAAAATGTCTTATAATCAACATGGTAACATAAGTAGAACAATGTTTCATGAATTCTAATTGTCTTAATAAAAACCCCAAATCAGATATAGGGGTAAATGCTGAAAGATCAAAGAAGCAGAGCAATCAGCCACTAGTTCTTACCTCTACTGAATTCTCAGACAAAAAGGGCAATCATGTCCCTACAAATCCTCTAACTGAATGCTTGATCTTGTCTCTAGGAATCTCAGAGTGAATGCCTTGAGCCCCTAACACCTCCTGCCTTATATTCCTCTCTCAGCCCAGCCATATCTCTCCTGTCTCCACCTCCCTAGTGCTAGGATTATAGGCATGTGACTCCCAAGTACTGGGATTAAAGGTGTGAGCCACCACTGCCTGGCCTCTATGGCCGACTAGTGGCTAGCTCCACACTCTGATCTTCAGGCAAACTTTATTTGTTGAAGCACAAACAAAATATCATCACAGAAGAAAGTTCCACTTAATGATAGGTCACATTCAGACTGCAAGCAGACTAAAATTATTTTATAAAATTACCTTCAGGTTATATGTACAAAATATATGGGAAGCATAAATGACATTCATGTTCAGACTTGGGTCTCACTGCCAAAATATTGCTTTATTCAAATATAAACTCAAGTCCAGGAAAATTCCAAGTCTGAAATACCCTGATCCCATATAATAAATTATTCTACCTATAAAAAAGACCAAAAATGGTTGGTACCTGAGGCTATATGGAGTCAGGAAGTTAGGAAGTTTGGGTCCCTTGTCTTGCCCTTCATAGCACCCAGCACATGGTCATACCAGAGCATTTCAATAGTGTGTATATTTGCACACTTCAGTGCCCTCCATTCCACGTGACCCTTACACTGAAAGGATCAGTGCTAATCCCAATCTTGACTCCACAGACACAGATGGAAATACGAAAGCAGAGCATCTCATGGGAGTTTGAAAAATACCGGCAGTTATTAAAGGAAAAAGAGCTGCCATGGGAGCGGGTGGAAGAGGAGGCAGCTGCAGCTCAGGCTAGTCTAGAGCAGGAGAGGAGAGAGACAGCGAACCAACTGGAGTTGAGGCACGGGAAGATCATCCAGCAGAGCCAGGACCTATGGAGGATGATGGTGGAGCTGGAAGAGAGATCCCAGAGACCTGTGCGCTGGATGCTGCAAGTGAGTAGCATCCTTTCCTGGCACACGTGAGTGAGAACTGATGATGGACTGGGACTCCAGGGGAAAGTGTTCACTAGTTCTTCACAGACCTATCATCATACTGCCCACCAGCTGAGGGTCCCATAGCCTCCAGCTGATGACTGCTGTCCTTTTCCTGATAGGACAAATGACCTGACCATTAATAATCTCATATGTCAGATCATCCACCCAGCAAGTAGAAGGACATCAGTAGAAGGATTCTGATATCTGACAGCATTTCAGTCCCTTCTATCCTGGCCATCTCAAAATGGAGCCTGAAGTTGTTCAGCCAGGCCAGGTCCACTAGGCTGTCCTCCCATCAGCTAGCTTCTCCCCAGCCTCCAAACCCCTCTTAGCATCTGTGTCTGTCTACCTTCTGAGGCACAGTACACTCATGGGCTGCATTGTTTTCTCTTCTAGGGCATTCAGGAAGCCTTAAACAGGTATGTTCCCATCCTCAGCGCCTCTGGGCCTCTCTGCAGGGGATGGAGAGGCCTGGCCAGAGCCACAGATGGAGAAGGAGCACAGGCTGAGCACCTACAGAAAGCAGATGCTGACTCACCATCTCACTTTATAATGGCTAAAGATTTGTTGACCTCTATGAGAACTGTATCTCATAGCTTGTCTCACTGGGCACTATGCCCTCACCCTCTGGTCACAGTCTTCCTCCAGAAACCTTGAAATTTTGCCCAGTGAGATAAGCTATGAGATGTATTTCTTTCACCAGCTAGTCTTGCCAAACAAAGAACTGGAATGATTTTTTAGGCTTCTTTGTGTTAATAACCTTGATTAGACACCTGTGACTCTGACCTGATGCATAACTGTAGTTTTAAAGTTATTATCAAATTGAAAAAAACCTTTTGTCTAGTTTGAACTTGCTCTGAGGTAAAAATGAGCTATTTGTGTGCAGTTTGACTTAGACTGAGGAGAAATTGTTGTTTTCTGAGTAAAAGGAACAAAGTGGCTTTTAAGTGCTTTACAGTCCTTGTGGGACGATAGATCTAGTTATGAAGTATATCCTAGTATGTTTTCTATATATCAAAATTATAAAATTAATGAGAAGTCATCTTCCAGACCACCCACAGCTATATGTGTGCCCAGTAGACATAACAATTTTTTTAGATAAGCACACAGGTAGTAGGAAAACACCCAAAACTATTCTTAGGGAAGAAATTAAATGACTCATGAGAGAAATTGCAAACAGAAACAATTATCCACATCCAGTGATCCCATGGACATGCCAAGTGGGGCTCTCCATCAGAGAATCACTCATCTGGTAGGTTGACCTGTTGAACACTAGTTGTCACCTGCCTCCAACAATGGCGACAAATCTCTTTCTCTTCTATCCTAATACTTAACTTTTCCCACAACAGGAAGTTGTGAGTATTCTTAACATTCTGTCATGAATAACTTAAAGCTCAATAAGCCAGCTATCATACCTCTGCTTTGCTGAGTAGGGGAATCTAACTGACTGGCTGTGGCCAACTCACTCTTCCCTGGACTAACGGAAGGATGCTTTGTGGGGCAGAGCTTAGACTCCTGGATACAAAACACACCCTCTTCTGCAGGAGCAAATCTTGGAGCTTGCAGCAGCCAGAGCCAATCCCCTTGGAACTAAAGACAGATTGTCGTATACCAGGACTAAGAGAGATCCTGAAGACATATGCAGGTATTGGATGCTTAAGGGTTGGAATGGGCAGTGGGAGGGACTTCACCCCTAGAGATAAAATGTCTCAGTGTTGTCTGGGTGTCTCATCTAGCCCCATCCCACCCATCACTGAGAACTCTGTCTTCATCAGAGATCCAGCCACAGCTTACTCCCGCCTTGTCGTATCCAAGGACAGAAAAAGTGTGCACTATGGAGACACCCAACAGAACCTGCCTGACAATCCTGAGAGGTTTTACCGCTATAACATTGTCTTGGGCAGCCAGTGTATCTCCTCAGGCCGGCACTATTGGGAGGTAGAGGTTGGAGACAGGTCTGAATGGGGCCTGGGAGTATGTATGGAAAATGTAGACCGGAAGGAGGTGGTCTATTTATCCCCCCACTATGGCTTCTGGGTGATAAGGCTGAGGAAGGGAACAGAGTACCGGGCAGGCACTGATGAATACCCCCTCTTGCCCTTGTCAGTCCCTCCACACCGAGTAGGAATCTTCCTAGATTATGAGGCCCATGATATCTCCTTCTACAATGTGACTGATGATGGCTCCCACATTTTTACTTTCCCCCATTATCCCTTCCCTGGCCGACTCTTGCCCTACTTTAGTCCATGCTACAGTATTGCTGCCAACAACACCACTCCCCTCACCATTTGTTCCCTGGTTGGGGAAGAGAGGAGAGATACCATTCTAAGCTAATGTTGGAATTTGGCCTGGTACACAGGACTGCTGGAGGGTGCTTCCATTAATAAGCATACCCCTGAACCCAGCTTAGAACCTAGAGACTCCTCTACCTGACCTCATGGTATCTTGCCATTAGACCAAACTGTCAGTACCTCTCACAGAAAAGCAATCCAGTCAGATAAGTGTTGTGATCCATGATAGAAACATAACAGAGACGATGGGCTTTGTCCACGCTGGAGGTTACAGCTCCTCACTGGTTCCATAAATAAGTGTGTGCCAGTGATGATATGACTGCATGCTCCAGAAAATCTTTGAAATAATGTTTCCAGCGAGACAAAATAATAATGCACCGGTCCAGAGCTGATTGCCATGGAGAAAGGGTGCTTCACCTGAGATTTGCTGTTACCAAACAAACCCTAAGCCCCAGACTTGAGAAACACACAGTCTGTGTGTCTGTGCTCTCCGAGTGCAGAGCGCAGATCTCACCCAGGATAGCTAGTGCATCACCTCCCTGAGCTTAGGGGCAAGTCTGTGTCCTGGGACTGTCTTTTCTCTAAGGGGCAGGTCAGAAAAGTTGGGGGCCTTAGTTTTTATTTTCACTTTATGGATGAGGAAACTGAAACAGCCTTAAGTTGTTCCTACAGGGATTGGGGAGGTAAGATTTTAAAGGTTATAAATGGTTTTCACATTTACATGAAACAAAGTAGACAAGTCACAGATCACAAAGCCCAGTGACTCGTTACATTCAGGTCTGAAACGTGCTTGAGAGGATTTGGGTGACCACTTTGGAAAAGTGGCTCTAATCTGGCTTAAAATAACATGTCCTTCTACCTCACCAGTTCTTGTAAAGTCACAGGACCCATCCCATACTTTTGTTCTCTGTAGAGAAGGGAGGGCATTGGATTCTGCATGTGGCAACCATCCTCCTTTGCCACATGCAGTCAGAACCTTCGTGGCAGCACATTTCTTCCTTATGGTCCCTCCCAACAGTTTACAGCCCTTTAAACAAAAACATAGCCATGCCACACTGTGTCACAAGGGTACACTGACATGTGGCCACAGAGCTGTGTTGTAGATCTGATTACATGTGTTTGTCTCTGGGTTAGAGTGAGGTCTATAACCTCAAAATAGAAAGCAAAATAATAGCAAGGAAGAAGACATAAAGTCATCGGAAAGGAAGGAAAGCCCATCCAGCAGCTAGTTGGTGTTAAATTACAACCTTCTGATGCCACCAGGGAGATCTACATGGTTCTTGTAATCATGCATAACATTCTCTTTAAGGTATAGGAGAGAAAAATGTGTGGAGAGAATCATACTAAACAAAAGCCAACTTAGGAGTCAGATGAAAGGAATAATGAAAGGGAAGTAAAATTGTATAGTGAACTGTTGTTATGTCAGGGAAAGTTGTACAAAAATAGCCCACAAGTGACAAGGTTGGTAAGTGACAAAAATTGGCTCTGTCTATGGGAAGGGACCAATTGTGTGTTGCTCCCATGTTCCCAAGTTTGTATTCTATTGCACATACAGGTTAAATGAAATTATTAAACATATCGAACTATTTCAGTCATCCCATATCCATAACATTTTCACTAAAAATTGAAATTTTATACAGCATAGTCTTTACAGCTTCATCTTGGACTCTTCACTGACAAGCCAAACAGTCTAGCCTCATGCATCTTTAAAATGTCTGCACACTTGTCTAGGGAACTAAATACTAGAGCTTTATGTTCATGAACCATTCCTAAGGAAGCAAGTCAGCAACATCTTCATCCTCTCCCGCATCTGCTTGGTCCTAATACCATAAATGGCAGGGTTTAAAGTAGGTGGGATAATCAGGTACAAGTCAGCTAATAACACTTGAGTGTGCATCGGAACTACGTCTTGCCATAACCAGGCTATGTATATGGATGCCATCCCAGGAAGATAGAACAGACACATAACTCCCACATGAGAACCGCATGTGCTTAATGCTTTCTGCTGTGCATTCTTTGAGGAAAGACTAAATACTGCCCTGAGAATAAAAATATAGGAGGCAGCAATGAAGACTATATCAAAGCCCACAATAATAGAGGAACAAATCAAGCTGTACAAACTGGTGGGTGTGGGGTCTGCACATACTAACTTGGCCACAGCCATGTGTTCACAGTAGGAATGGAAAACTACATTGGAACCACAGAAAGGCAAATGACTCAACATCCAACTCAGTGGAGTCACAGAAATGACAGCTCTGCTGATGATAGTAACACATAATCCCAGCACCAATTTAGGTTTGAGGATTTGTTTGTAGTGTAGGGGCTTGCAGATGGCCACATAGCGATCAAAAGCCATGGCCAGTAGCAGCCCTGTCTCCACAGCTGTGGCTGTGTGGATAAAGTACATCTGAGTGAAACAGGCATTAAAGCTGATGGAGCTGTCTCCTGAGCTGAAGATGCTCACCATCTTAGGTACCACAGAAGAAGCCATAACAATGTCCACAGCAGCCAGAACACACAGAAAGACGTACATGGGCTCTTGTAGAGTGGAATCTGTGCAGATCACAGCAATGATGAGGGTGTTTCCTAAGAGGGCTGTGCTGTACATAGCACTGAATGAGATGGCCAGCCCGAGATAGGAAGACTGCAAACCTGGGATGCCCACGAGGAGGAAGGTGGCAGGAGATTCCATTGTGTGGTTGTAGGATGGTCCTGACATCATAGGTGAGATGAGTTTTCTGTTGCAATATAAAGTGATGAAAAATGAGAGGATGGAAGGCCACCAGATGTGTTCCTCTCTGTGGTACAGACAAATCTGAGTGTCAAGGCAGTGTTTTCCAAATCAGAAAACACAAATTAAGCCATCTTTCTCCATTTCCCATGCTTATCAAGGTTGTCTGTGTTAACAGAGTCTGCTCATTGTTCAGATCATCTGCTGATTTTCCTCCTTTAGGAAGTCTATGCCCTTTCTCCTCTCACGTTGCATGAAGAGGCAAAATTAGAAACCTTTCTCATAAATTCTCTCAGAATAACCTAGAAAAGATATGAGCTGGCAGTCCTAATGCTCTACCTCGGTCTTTCTTATATTTTCTAGTGGGTGACTGTTGTTCAAGTGCTGTCACTGTCAGACTAGGTTGGTTGGTCTTCAGGGGAAAACCTAGAGTTTTTCTTAGAATATAAAACAAAGTTCTGTGTACTTCTTTTGCCCTGCTGCAAGAAGGGAAGGAACTAGTTATGTTGCTTCTAGAGTCACACACCACAACTAAAAATATCATTGTATCACTTACTACCTGTTTTTCCCTTGGTCATATCATATAAACTTTCTGTGCCTTAATTCGATCATTGGCACTTTGAAATTTAAATGGAAGACAAATATTAAGTACTAAGTTTTCAAAAATTTCAGCAAATTTTAAAATGAGCCCAAGTTTCTCTGCTTAACCTTTTAACTCCAGAACACTCTAAGAACATGCATAAGTACAACAGAGACTAAATCAAATAACTAAACCCACCAGCAGTGGTGCCACACGCCTTTAATCCCAGCATTAGGGAGGCAAAGGCAGGTGGATCTCTGAGTCAGAGGCCAGTCTGGTCTACAGAACAAATTCCAAGATATCCAGAGCTACACAGGTAAACCTTGTCTTAAAAACAAACCTAAATCCACCAACACAACACCCATTTCCTATTCTCTGATAGTTTTCATTTGTCCTACCACCATCAGCCACTGAGTTTTTCCCTTATAGTTGACATAACTGCCAAGATAATATAGAATGCAATGAAGAGCTCACTCTCTTTTCTTTTGTCTGTTCATTTCTTCTGTTATTGTCAATTCTGCAAAAAAAGTCTTTCTTATACTACGTACAACTCTACCTCTAATTATAAAGCCTAAGAGTATGTGTATGGCTCTGATGTCATACAAAATTCTGACAACAAAGTGGAGTTGAATTCAGGATCAGAATGGATGTGACAATCGTATTTTATGTAGGCTACATTCCTGCCTCAGCACATTTTCTGACTTCTCCCAGATTATTCTTCTCTCTTGGGGCATGCACAGGAGGTTTGACCTAAGAAATTAACTCAAGACTCTAACTGTGGAGTAGACCTCATGGAGTCCCCCACCCTCTTTCCTTAAGTTCACAGGGCCTGAATATTGATTGCATCTCCTGAGGCCTTAACCTGGGGTGGCCATATCACAGACAAGACAGGTGATGACTTGGCAATATTCAAATGTAGCCCAAGAAGTGTTTCTTACATTTCCATTCAGCCTTCAGTAAAAAGAGCTTCTTTGCCAAGCCTCAAGACTAGATAGTTTGAGTAGCTAGCAAGTCCTGTAATCCCCTATTAGTAAAGGGTTAGCAGCCTAAGACATCTTATCCTTGGATTCTGACTTTACTTACCTCTCAATTCTCTCTCCTGAATGATTGGGTAGGTAAGAATTGTGGGAGTCTGTTAGGGTCCCATGTGCTAGAAAAGACATTTTCTATGTTACCCAGTCATAAATCAAGCATTTACCTTGCTCTCCATCCTCACCACATGGCGTCTGCTTGACTCCTGGTGCAGAATCTTCAAGAGTTTTCTCAAAAACCAGATTTCTGGGACCTGATCTTCACATGTGGTTGTTTTGGAAAAAAACATGAAATAAAAACCTTCAGAATAATAAATGTTGTATACTAAGACTAACAAGTTCCATGTCACAGTGCAATAAAATCACAGAGTGAGACACTACAGACAGATAAGTTCAGCACTGAGAAGAATTTCTAAGTAGACTTGAGAAGAAGAGTAAAAAGTAAGCCTGGGTATCCCTGAGCCCCCGGTCCATGTTTGGGATGCTACAGATTTGGAGCTGAGCTTTAGTGCCTATTGATTTGAAGAAAGCTGAAGGATCTAGAGTGCACATACCTATTCACCTCTGGCCCAAAAGCTGCTCTATATAAATTCACCCTTCATCTGAGGACACCCTTAACTTGTGCCCTGCTCCACCTTTCTGTCTCCAACTCTGGGAACCTCACCTCATAACTCTCCAGATGCTCACAGTGGTTTGAAGTTAGTGATAGTCTTCATATATTTTAAATTTTACTTCGCTTTATTTGCTCTTCTTGATAGGTGTTGCTAGAGATGTGTTTAGTCTTTTCAAAATAAGGAGCATTTGTTCTTAATTGTCTCTTCTTTGAAATATTTAATTTTTTTCTTGAGAACATCAATAGTGACCTCCATTAAAGATCTGTTGTGAGCCGGGCAGTGGTGGCAAACACCTTTATCACAGCACTCAGGAGGCTGAGGCAGGCTGATCTCTGTGAGTAGGAGACCAGCCTGGTCTACAAGAGCTAGTTCCAGGACAGCCCTCCAAAACAATACAGAGAAACCCTGTCTTGGAAAAAAAAATCTGTTGTGAATACAGTAACTCCTTAAACATCGTTTCCTGTATGCTTATTTTTCAATTAGCTCTTTGGGCCACTCAAAACACGTGCTATAAGATACAGAAATCTAAGGTGTAAAGGTTATACTATCAACACAGGGAAACACATTGCTTCCTGCTTGTTGGGGTGAAATCTTTCAGGAAAGCCTAGGCCCAAATCTCCTGAGACAGTCTTCCAGCCTTAAACTCATCCCTGCAGCCCTGAAGATGTGCATGATGTCTGGAGGGCCCACCACTGAAAAGTGGCCTAGGCAAATCATTTAACACCAATAAGTAAATCATAGAATGTGAGATGATACTTTTTTCCAAATAAAAGAATGGAGGGATGCATAATTAATGTGCTGTCCAGATGAAAGCAGTACTACATGCCTCACTGGATACAGCCTTGCTGGCTGTGAAAACCTCAAATCCCTACTTAAGTGCCTCTGTCGACACCCAAATACAACGTCACTCTTCCCTGTGGCCATCTGCTTTTCTCCAAGCAAGTCTTGGTCCCTAAAAATATGTATGTACCATTCCAATGTTGCTCTTACCTTTTCATGTCTCTGCTTTGAAGTAACCCTATACACCTATTCCTTCTCCCATGTCTGCCATCCCTCAAATCATTTCCAGAGGAAGCTGTAGGTTTCCATAATGCCCAGACTTGACCAGCCCCCTTATGCTTGTACACTTGGATAGAGAGCTTGAATCCTCATTTCTGAGGTGACCCTAGCCTCAAGACTCCTTAAGTCCAAACTCAGTTTCCTAATTCAGTTATTCGCATGATAGATTTCCTCATGTGTAGCTTTCATTCTCTGGTTAGGTATGCCTCCTCTTTCACATTTCTCACACCAAATAATATTTAGATTCATATGAGACTTTCGAGAGAAGCAGTAACATCACAGGAGCCACAGGAGATCAGAGACAACGGAGTTACTATAGTGTGATCCTTTCCGAACATCCCCCACTAGGAGACTCCCTTTCCCATGAGCTACTCAGTCACCTGTCTCTTCCCTGGACACCACTGCTCTTGGCCTCTGCCCAGCAGCCGAACACTGAGACCCCTCCAGAGACTGACTTTCTTCGTGCAACTCCCTTGGGCATCCCAGACTGGAAGGACTCAGGAGTCTAGAGAGTGAACAGCGCTTGTGTCTTCTAGTCCCCAGAGGGTACCTAAGCATTAGACTAGTGATGC